TAGAAAAAGAAAAAATTGTGCTTTTTGTTGTACCTATTTATTATCTTTACCTACAGGATTTGCGAATGATTCAAGGAAAAACAAACGAAACCGCATGCACGTGGATATGAGTACCGACGTTTATTGCTGTTTGTCACAAAGCTATAAAAAATGCCATTTTACGACACATATCGGAAGAAATGTGTATTTTGGTCATTTTAATCAAATTTGTGGTATATAAGTAAAGCTTGTGCTTGACATTGGAAGGTTCTCATAGCATCACAGCCTGTGAAGATTAGCACTTTCACCTTCTGCAAGCATGAATCTACTCCTGATTAGCTTGCTGCTCTTATACATGTTCGAAACAACGGGAGGTACCGAATGGCAGCCTTGTTACAAGGGCTGTAACAAAGCATGCATGAATAAGGTAAGATACCATCGTTTTGCGCATAGCATTGGATATTAGCAAATTATGTCAACAAAAAGCTTTCACAATTCGAATAAAAATTGATTCGCGAATACCAAACGTGATTTGCTTCATGCAATATTTTAGGGATACCTGTGTGGAAGATGTGAACTCGTGAAGTTAATTCTCAACGGCCGTCGTCCTCTCCGGAGATGCATGTGTCGCAACGAAAAACATTATTGCGCAATCACAACCACAGTTGCAACAGTCCGCGCTACAACAACAATTGCAGCAACTTGCGATCGTGGCCCTTGTAGGAGCGACCCATGTAACAAATGTTGTAAGGCTGAGGTAAGATGTCATTATATTCGCGCATACATTTGATTTCTAGCAGAACTAAGGCAGCAATGGCATTGAAGTGTAATGCCGTAGAGCCGATTTTTGAGTGAGTGCGGCAGATAATTGAAGAAAGGAAAAAGCTTTGGGTTGTTTCAGACTGCCGTACTGACAGCAGCAGACAGCAGCAGACTGCAGCAGGCTGCAGCAGACTGCAGCTGACCGCACTGAACGCAGCTGACTGTAGCAGACTGCAGACTGCAGCTGACAGCATTGACCACGGGCAGCGCAGATCGATATATCTTTTCGTGAAAGTGGAGAGAATAAATATTTGTAGCTCAAACAGTCCCTTAACAATATATGCCCCAATAGACAACACGAGTGGGACTTAAATAGGTATATGCAATGAAAAGAATCAGAACAAATATGAGCATATTAAAGAAAAACAATCGCCAAAACTTGAATGAGAAGAGTAAGCTAGAACCTATGAACTTTGTAGGCGTAAATCACGGTGCTTTGATGTATTCGCAACTATTATCTCTCTTACGAAAGGATGCAGCGATTGTGCGGCCGTTGCGGTCAGTGCAGTCAGCTGCAGTCTGCTGCAGTCTGCTGCAGTCTGCTGCAGTCTGCTGCGGTCTGCTTCAGTCAGCTGCAGTCAGTGCGGCAGTATAAACAACCCTTTGGTTGTTTTTTATATTTCAACACGCAATAAGAATGCTGAAGAAGGAAGTTTATGCCAACACGCTTTCAAAACTCTACAAGCCGATGCTGCTATAAATTTATTATTCCTTTTACAAGTGTAGTTATTTGCACAGTCATACAATGTATGTATCGCTTTCAAAAATCCGCACTTTTACCCAATGGAGTGCCCTCCCTCTGATCCACTGCAAAAAAGTTAAGCAACAATCTCCCTATTCTGTCAACTTGTTTCGGTTGAATGGTATTACCTACAATGAACACATTTTACTATTCTTTTAACTATGTTCTTTATTCCTTACTTTCTTGGTTTTTTTGGCTGCCTCCTCTCCATTTTTGCCCTTCCTTTAGCTGTAAAAAGAGGCAAAAGCAAAATTCTGTCTAAGCTTGTGCTCCACCAGCAAAGTGCTTTGTGCCAAAGGAAAGCTTTTCAAATTAAATAAAACTTGATTCGCGAATATCAAAAGTGATTGCTTTATGTGATATTTTAGGGATTCTTTTGTGGAGCATGTTACCGACCATACCCCTGGCTTAAGATGAAGATGCATTGTAGGTGTATCTATGAAGTGGTAAATTGCTGGCTTGATGAAGACCTTTAAAAACCTTCCTTTAGAGCAACATTCACATTGATTATTCCCAAACAATGTGAAGTAAAGTTTCAGTTGTCAAGTGCAAACAAGGTCAGTGTACTTCAGTCATTGATTTGTGATACAAAAGTATACGCAACAAGTAAACTTCGCAACATAAACAGAATTAAGCAGCAACTATATTCGCATCTTTCCTAAATGGTCTCTATTTGAAGAGCACAACATTTTGAGGATTGCTTACAGCTAATTGCTGACAGTTGGCCTTTTTTTCTTCTGTTAACTACCAATGGATGTCACAAATTCTCGGTTCTTTGGCGGCTCGCTAACGTCACAACAAGAATTCCAGCAGATGCTTATTGTGGCTTGTTTAGCTGGACACCGGGATTGGTATATCCTTCATGCGACTAAAGTTTCGGCGGTATCGCCTTCTTCAGAGTCTGAAATTGTCGAATGCATAAGTGAACTATCCTATCAAAAACCGCCTCAAGACTTAGGAAGACGCCCAGTGCGTTAGTGAGCCAAGAACTCGAAAGTGAATGCAGGATTAAACTAATGTTTACCTAAACAGATGCCGACAAAGTGGTGTTGCAGACCACTGTACCAGTAACTGAGCTCATACTTTCTTATATACCTATTCGCCTGACCTCAACTTGACCTCAGAAGCCGCAAGGGATCTGATAAGGCGCCACCTCATTAGTGATATCTATGCACTCATCTTTTCTATTCAAATTTGGACTTTTGGCGGTAATCCAAAACGCTTCTAAAGTCTTGCGCGCTATGATTTCGGATTCGTGCGCTAAGATCGTGACCTCCACGCGTATCTCTGCGTCATTATGGAACTGTCTGCGATGCTTGCCCAGTGGAGTTAGAATTCACGCAGTTTTGAGCGAAACTTTTGTACAAAAATGTTTTTGACTGTACTACTACTGTACCCCGATGAGCTTTTCTAAGAGAAGTATTGAGTTATTCAGGAGCTTGCCTTCATTTTTGCGTAGACATTTCTATTTGGAAACGAACAGATTTTCACTCTGTAATAGATGAACGTTAAGATAAGATATCTGTGTGAAAAAGGAGTACGGTAGAAATCGCGCTTACGGCCGCGATACTGCCGCCCCACCTGTGTTTTCATCTGGATAATTGAGTTCATCTTTGAGGCGCTCGAGCTTGTTTAGACCTCAACGGAGTGCGTTTTTTGCGCGGACGAGTCTTCCGTAGTTGGTTTTGCTTTCCTCCGGAAGTGTACAGATCGCCGAATGATGGCAGTGTATGGGGCAATGACAACATAGCGTAGACCATCTTATGCAGTCTCGGTTGCCTGGGCACAACACCTCCAAACAGATATCACATTTTCTTTGATCTCTGAGGATGCGCACACGGCTTTCCACTTTTTGAACTTCTGGGAATGAATCGGAGTAGACGTCCGACCGCCTTGCAAAAGACACATCTCATGTGCCTTTCGAACTCTGTGTTCATGAGCCCGTGCTGGAATCTTTGCGGAGCACATCTCGGTCTGCGTTCCAACTCGTCAATCAATATTTTCCAGTCATTCACTTCTTGCTCCACCCGGCGAATTACGAGGCGCAACTATTGGTTTCTAATTTGGTTTAAATTTACTTCTTCATTATCATCTTCTTCCATAGGTTCTACGAGAGGCTCTTCGTTTTTGGGTGAGTTGCTCTTCTTCAGGGCCCGGCAGAGGTGGGCAAATGACAAGCTGGAGATCGTTTTGGGGTCAAAAAGCAAAGGGGATATCGTTTTTGCGGGATCCGGGCGGAGCCCCGGAAGAAGATTCCAAGTGCAAGCAAAAGAAGGTCGAATCATGCTTACCTTTACATCTAATTTATCAGAAAATAGTTTTCATAAACCTCAACACACAGCAGGCTTTGCGCGCACTACGCCGCGTTGCAGTTAATTGCCGCATGCGGACGTCGCATGAGCGATGCCGTTGAACAGCATGATTACATGATCTGTTCTCAATGCAGGCGTAATGATATAGCACCAAATTACGTAAGCGAACAAAGAGAGGCTAGTAAAAACAAAGCATGAAATGTTATGAAAAACTCATGTGAATGGAGGTGTAATAAGCATTTTTTCCAAAAATTTCGCAAAACTGGTAAATGAAGATGTGAATTCAACTGGCTCGTTTGCAGCGCACAAATAACCATACGGTATGAAACTTGGTGGGTGCATGAACACGTGCCTGCAGGGCTTATCTTAGAAGTTTCATCGAAAAAATATGTGAATGAAGGTTGTGGCAAGTTTTTTTCTGAAAATTTCCCACTATCAAGAAAATGGAAAAATGGCTCGTTTACAGCGCAGAGAAAACGAATTCGCGCGAGACTTGGTGTGTATACGCGCAGTAGAACTAAGAAACAATGTATGAAAAATTATGAAAAACTTATGTAAATGAAAAGCGTGCTTAACTTTTTTCCAAATTAGGTGGGCAATTGCCCACTAATTTGGAAAAAAGCGCCACCTGAGGTGGGCAAAACTTTCAACTCACATAATTTTTTCAAAATTTTTACATATATCTGTTTCACCTAAAGTTTACTATATGGTGAGATTTTGGTTCCGAAACTCCTCCTCTTGTCTTTGTTAGAGCCCAAAGTCGCATCAACAGCCTAGCTTTCTAAGATGGAAAGCGCGCCCCAGTCAATCGATACGCGTGAGAACGGCGTCTCTCAGTCCTTTGACCGCGTTCCTTTGATATTTTTTCAGTCTTTCATCATTTTCCTTTCTTATTTTTCTTCCTGTTTTCTATCTTGATACAGGTGAGGAGTAATTAGAGGAATTTGAGCATTTTGGGCGCTTTTGAGCGCTTCTAGGCGAAGTGTGGCCGGTGCTTTCGCTCTACAAGCACAAAGCGTCATTTTTGGGCTCAACGGGGTATTCGTAAAAACTTTTGGGGTAAAGGGGAATTTGTTTTGGAAAACCCCGTCTGCCCACCTCGTGCCGGGCCCTGCTCTTCTTCCCTGCCTCGAGCTTTTGCGCTGTTAACAGAGCAACCTTTGCATTGCTTCCACACCGCATCTCGAGGCACGGTTCTGGTTTTTGGCTTGATTCCATCCACCTTGCTCCTCATCTTCTTCGTCCATAACCTCCACAAAACGTTCTTCATCCTCGTCGTGTAGCTCGCGTATCTCGTTCACCTCGTTAAAGACCTCAATAACTTCCACGACGAGTCGTTCCTCTTGCGTAACATGTTGTACCATGTCCTCCGACCCCACTTGTGGAATGGCCTGTTCTAGGTCTTCTGATGCGCACGTGGCTCGGAGGCTGTTTCCATATCTTCAAAAGTTTCTTTTTTTCCGCTCACACCGCATTCTGATTCGCCGCTTTCGGACTGTTGGTGGTATCTTTTCGGTGTGCACTCTTTTCATCGCCCTCTGAGTGTTGGTATGCTCTTTTCGCAGGCGTGGCATTTTGTTCGGCACTTCCTGATCATGATATTTGTAATGTTCCCACCGAATTGTTTCGGTTTCCTCGCTATCTCTTCTATTTGGACTACGTTCCTGTTTTTCCATGTTCTGACTGTCAGTTCTTTCACTGTTTGCCCTTTCTACAGATTTTGAAAGATTGTTCAACGTTTCTTCGCAAGCGTTTCTTAGCGTGTTGATTGCATTGGAAAATGTATGAAGGACCTCTGTCAGCTGTTGTAGTTCTTGTTTCAAGCAGTGGTATCAACGCAGAGTACTCATTTCTGAAATACGCCTCTACCGTAACTTCTACTATTTTTATAGTGTTTTCAAATTTCTTTGGCGTGAGGTACGTTAGTGGCATGTATGTTTTTCCTTCGGCATTGGAGTAAATAGCTCTCCACAAAGACCGCAGCACGAAACGGAAAGGCCAATACTTTGAAGAAAGTGCGAAAAAACAGTCTGGCAGCGCATAGTCCTATAGTTTGCAGCAGAGCGTACGAGACCAGCAGCGGTACGGCTACGATAATCAGCGCGATGACCACAGTTTTATACCTTTGAAGATATACCTTGAAAATATGCGAAAAGTCGAGTCATTCTATCTCACCATATGTTGTGCTATTGCTTTTTAGGGCTAGTAGACTTTGTGAAGGAATATCTCCTACATACTTCAGAATGCCTGATATGATGAAATGATTTTTCGAATTTCCGCAGGAAATGGAACAGTTGATAAGCTGTTGCTGCGCTCAGATGGAAATACAAGTCTGAAGTTGGTTTATTTGGAGCGCACGGAACTACAAAAAAGCAGTGGTATCAACGCAGAGTACTGTTTGTTTTGGCGAGCTGCATGTGATATTTGCAACCGCTCCTAAAGCGCAATTGTAGCATCCTTCAAGGCGGGCATTTTGTATCGTGCAAGTGTTATCATCAAATTCTAAGGCTGTGGCCTTGATGTGTTCTTTTTTTGCTGAGGATTATCTCGGCGGAAACCATTTGTGGTATTTTTGCTACTATGTTGCCTTTGAAGCTATTTATGTACCCAGGCTGTCTTTATGGGTAGTTGATGTTGAATTTGATAGAATTCGCTATTAAATGTCTTTTTGAGGACATTGACAATGCTTTGCTTTCTGCCGCCGTGCATCACACAGTTGTCTGCTAGAGCGCATTCAAATGAACTTGCTGTATGTCTGGAATTGCAAGTGAGGTCGGATGTGAAAGTAGATTTCCAGAAGGCCGCATCAACGCCATTTGTGATAAAGTGATCATGCAGTGACGGGATAGGAGGAAGTGAAGTTGATGTTAGTGTTATGCGCAAATTTGGAAGGTTAACTGGAACATCTGGAATTGCCGAGATGACAAAGTGTTGTTTTCCTAAGCGCAAACTTTCAATGTAGACATCCAATTTGATCTCTTCTCTCCACCGCGAACATTTGAAAATTTCATACACATCTGAATTTTTTGGTGTAGCGTAGATTCTGTAGAATAAGCACCCAGAACTCGAATTAAAAGAATCACAGCCCAATCCTCCACACGATTCTAAGCAGCCTGTTCGTCCTGGAAATCGGTTTTCCGCTTCTAGCTCCGGAAGGAGACTCGTTGTGTTTATGTCAGCACATTTCCGTCCTACACAGCTTCCCATATGGGGGCAGCGCTTACTATTTACCACTTGCAGAATAAACGATCTTGTGAAAAACAGCGTTTCTTTCTCGCAGTGCAATCGGAGCTCTCTTCAGCGCACTTTTATGTTTTCTATGTACGAACCGTTTTTCGTTAGGCGCAAGCAAGCTTCTTGTTAGAATGTGCTCAATTTTAAGACTTCTTTCATTGCGATAGAGCAAGTTTCTTCTCTGTTATGTTTATGGCAAACTGTAGAGTGGTATTTCAGAACATCTGCTTGTTGACACGCTAACGCAGTGTGAGTGAGTGCACTGAGTGTCACTATCGCCAGGGCTTCTGTCAAGCGTGTTGTTCTGGTTCTACGACGAGTTTGGCAACACCTTCGTAATAAAGAAGGAAAACATTTGCAAAGTTTGCTCAACAGAAAACGTGTAATGATAATAAACGGTCGAATAGAGATTCTGATAGGTTTGCCAATGGTTACTGAGACGTAAAACTAGGTAGATTGCAGCTATGATCACGTAAACCAGTAGGGCTAAAGTGATGATAGCTCCGGTTGGCCAACGTTCTGGATTCAAGAGTACTGTGGAACATACCCAGCAATCTATGTTATCACAGAAGTTTATTTTTTCGCATAATCTTTCCACAACTTCTGTTTTTCCGTTTTTCGTTTATCGCGCTGATTATCGTAGCCGTACCGCTGCTGGTCTCGTACGCTCTGCTGCAAACTATAGGACTATGCGCTGCCAGACTGTTTTTTCGCACTTTCTTCAAAGTATTGGCCTCTCCGTTTCGTGATGCGGTCTTTGTGGAGAGCTATTTACTCCAGTGCCGAAGGAAAAACATACATGCCACTAACGTACCTCACGCCAAAGAAATTTGAAAACACTATAAAAATAGTAGAAGTTACGGCAGAGGCGTACTTCAGATTTATTTTACTTTGTAGGCGTATTTCAGAAATGAGCGACGACAAAGACCACAAAGAATTGAAACAAGAACTACAACAGCTGACAGAGGTCCTTCATACATTTTCCAATGCAATCAACACGCTAAGAAACGCTTGCGAAGAAACGTTGAACAATCTTTCAAAATCTGTAGAAAGGGCAAACAGTGAAAGAACTGACAGTCAGAACATGGAAAAACAGGAACGTAGTCCAAATAGAAGAGATAGCGAGGAAACCGAAACAATTCGGTGGGAACATTACAAATATCATGATCAGGAAGTGCCGAACAAAATGCCACGCCTGCGAAAAGAGCATACCAACACTCAGAGGGCGATGAAAAGAGTGCACACCGAAAAGATACCACCAACAGTCCGAAAGCGGCGAATCAGAATGCGGTGTGAGCGGAAAAAAAGAAACTTTTGAAGATATGGAAACAGCCTCCGAGCCACGTGCGCATCAGAAGACCTAGAACAGGCCATTCCACAAGTGGGGTCGGAGGACATGGTACAACATGTTACGCAAGAGGAACGACTCGTCGGGAAGTTATTGAGGTCTTTAACGAGGTGAACGAGATACGCGAGCTACACGACGAGGATGAAGAACGTTTTGTGGAGGTTATGGACGAAGAAGATGAGGAGCAAGGTGGATGGAATCAAGCCAAAAACCAGAACCGTGCCTCGAGATGCGGTGTGGAAGCAATGCAAAGGTTGCTCTGTTAACAGCGCAAAAGCTCGAGGCAGGGAAGAAGAGCAGGGCCCGGCACGAGGTGGGCAGACGGGGTTTTCCAAAACAAATTCCCCTTTACCCCAAAAGTTTTTACGAATACCCCGTTGAGCCCAAAAATGACGCTTTGTGCTTGTAGAGCGAAAGCACCGGCCACACTTCGCCTAGAAGCGCTCAAAAGCGCCCAAAATGCTCAAATTCCTCTAATTACTCCTCACCTGTATCAAGATAGAAAACAGGAAGAAAAATAAGAAAGGAAAATGATGAAAGACTGAAAAAATATCAAAGGAACGCGGTCAAAGGACTGAGAGACGCCGTTCTCACGCGTATCGATTGACTGGGGCGCGCTTTCCATCTTAGAAAGCTAGGCTGTTGATGCGACTTTGGGCTCTAACAAAGACAAGAGGAGGAGTTTCGGAACCAAAATCTCACCATATAGTAAACTTTAGGTGAAACAGATATATGTAAAAATTTTGAAAAAATTATGTGAGTTGAAAGTTTTGCCCACCTCAGGTGGCGCTTTTTTCCAAATTAGTGGGCAATTGCCCACCTAATTTGGAAAAAAGTTAAGCACGCTTTTCATTTACATAAGTTTTTCATAATTTTTCATACATTGTTTCTTAGTTCTACTGCGCGTATACACACCAAGTCTCGCGCGAATTCGTTTTCTCTGCGCTGTAAACGAGCCATTTTTCCATTTTCTTGATAGTGGGAAATTTTCAGAAAAAAACTTGCCACAACCTTCATTCACATATTTTTTCGATGAAACTTCTAAGATAAGCCCTGCAGGCACGTGTTCATGCACCCACCAAGTTTCATACCGTATGGTTATTTGTGCGCTGCAAACGAGCCAGTTGAATTCACATCTTCATTTACCAGTTTTGCGAAATTTTTGGAAAAAATGCTTATTACACCTCCATTCACATGAGTTTTTCATAACATTTCATGCTTTGTTTTTACTAGCCTCTCTTTGTTCGCTTACGTAATTTGGTGCTATATCATTACGCCTGCATTGAGAACAGATCATGTAATCATGCTGTTCAACGGCATCGCTCATGCGACGTCCGCATGCGGCAATTAACTGCAACGCGGCGTAGTGCGCGCAAAGCCTGCTGTGTGTTGAGGTTTATGAAAACTATTTTCTGATAAATTAGATGTAAAGGTAAGCATGATTCGACCTTCTTTTGCTTGCACTTGGAATCTTCTTCCGGGGCTCCGCCCGGATCCCGCAAAAACGATATCCCCTTTGCTTTTTGACCCCAAAACGATCTCCAGCTTGTCATTTGCCCACCTCTGCCGGGCCCTGAAGAAGAGCAACTCACCCAAAAACGAAGAGCCTCTCGTAGAACCTATGGAAGAAGATGATAATGAAGAAGTAAATTTAAACCAAATTAGAAACCAATAGTTGCGCCTCGTAATTCGCCGGGTGGAGCAAGAAGTGAATGACTGGAAAATATTGATTGACGAGTTGGAACGCAGACCGAGATGTGCTCCGCAAAGATTCCAGCACGGGCTCATGAACACAGAGTTCGAAAGGCACATGAGATGTGTCTTTTGCAAGGCGGTCGGACGTCTACTCCGATTCATTCCCAGAAGTTCAAAAAGTGGAAAGCCGTGTGCGCATCCTCAGAGATCAAAGAAAATGTGATATCTGTTTGGAGGTGTTGTGCCCAGGCAACCGAGACTGCATAAGATGGTCTACGCTATGTTGTCATTGCCCCATACACTGCCATCATTCGGCGATCTGTACACTTCCGGAGGAAAGCAAAACCAACTACGGAAGACTCGTCCGCGCAAAAAACGCACTCCGTTGAGGTCTAAACAAGCTCGAGCGCCTCAAAGATGAACTCAATTATCCAGATGAAAACACAGGTGGGGCGGCAGTATCGCGGCCGTAAGCGCGATTTCTACCGTACTCCTTTTTCACACAGATATCTTATCTTAACGTTCATCTATTACAGAGTGAAAATCTGTTCGTTTCCAAATAGAAATGTCTACGCAAAAATGAAGGCAAGCTCCTGAATAACTCAATACTTCTCTTAGAAAAGCTCATCGGGGTACAGTAGTAGTACAGTCAAAAACATTTTTGTACAAAAGTTTCGCTCAAAACTGCGTGAATTCTAACTCCACTGGGCAAGCATCGCAGACAGTTCCATAATGACGCAGAGATACGCGTGGAGGTCACGATCTTAGCGCACGAATCCGAAATCATAGCGCGCAAGACTTTAGAAGCGTTTTGGATTACCGCCAAAAGTCCAAATTTGAATAGAAAAGATGAGTGCATAGATATCACTAATGAGGTGGCGCCTTATCAGATCCCTTGCGGCTTCTGAGGTCAAGTTGAGGTCAGGCGAATAGGTATATAAGAAAGTATGAGCTCAGTTACTGGTACAGTGGTCTGCAACACCACTTTGTCGGCATCTGTTTAGGTAAACATTAGTTTAATCCTGCATTCACTTTCGAGTTCTTGGCTCACTAACGCACTGGGCGTCTTCCTAAGTCTTGAGGCGGTTTTTGATAGGATAGTTCACTTATGCATTCGACAATTTCAGACTCTGAAGAAGGCGATACCGCCGAAACTTTAGTCGCATGAAGGATATACCAATCCCGGTGTCCAGCTAAACAAGCCACAATAAGCATCTGCTGGAATTCTTGTTGTGACGTTAGCGAGCCGCCAAAGAACCGAGAATTTGTGACATCCATTGGTAGTTAACAGAAGAAAAAAAGGCCAACTGTCAGCAATTAGCTGTAAGCAATCCTCAAAATGTTGTGCTCTTCAAATAGAGACCATTTAGGAAAGATGCGAATATAGTTGCTGCTTAATTCTGTTTATGTTGCGAAGTTTACTTGTTGCGTATACTTTTGTATCACAAATCAATGACTGAAGTACACTGACCTTGTTTGCACTTGACAACTGAAACTTTACTTCACATTGTTTGGGAATAATCAATGTGAATGTTGCTCTAAAGGAAGGTTTTTAAAGGTCTTCATCAAGCCAGCAATTTACCACTTCATAGATACACCTACAATGCATCTTCATCTTAAGCCAGGGGTATGGTCGGTAACATGCTCCACAAAAGAATCCCTAAAATATCACATAAAGCAATCACTTTTGATATTCGCGAATCAAGTTTTATTTAATTTGAAAAGCTTTCCTTTGGCACAAAGCACTTTGCTGGTGGAGCACAAGCTTAGACAGAATTTTGCTTTTGCCTCTTTTTACAGCTAAAGGAAGGGCAAAAATGGAGAGGAGACAGCCAAAAAAACCAAAAAAGTAAGAAATAAAGAACATAGTTAAAAGAATAGTAAAATGTGTTCATTGTAGGTAATACCATTCAACCGAAACAAGTTGGCAGAATAGGGAGATTGTTGCTTAACTTTTTTGCAGTGGGTCAGAGGGAGGGCACTCCATTGGGTAAAAGTGCGGATTTTTGAAAGCGATACATACATTGTATGACTGTGCAAATAACTACACTTGTAAAAGGAATAATAAATTTATAGCAGCATCGGCTTGTAGAGTTTTGAAAGCGTGTTGGCATAAACTTCCTTCTTCAGCATTCTTATTGCGTGTTGAAATATAAAAAACAACCAAAGGGTTGTTTATACTGCCGCACTGACTGCAACTGACTGAAACAGACTGCAGCAGACTGCAGCTGACTGCACTGACCGCAACGGCCGCACAATCGCTGCATCCTTTCGTAAGAGAGATAATAGTTGCGAATACATCAAAACACCGTGATTTACGCCTACAAAGTTCATAGGTTCTAGCTTACTCTTCTCATTCAAGTTTTGGCGATTGTTTTTCTTTAATATGCTCATATTTGTTCTGATTCTTTTCATTGCATATACCTATTTAAGTCCCACTCGTGTTGTCTATTGGGGCATATATTGTTAAGGGACTGTTTGAGCTACAAATATTTATTCTCTCCACCTTTTGCTTTTGCTCTGGGTGAATTCGATTTTTCTCTCCAGATTGTAGGCGTGAGGGCGAGAGTGACATTGCGAAAGGAAGCTGTACAGCGATGACTGGGGCAAGACAAAATTTTAGCACGATATTATCCACTTTTCCGCCAGGTTTTGAGAAAATCTCCGAAAATCTCGCTTTTGGGAGCTTTTGCTCTGGGTGAATTCGATTTTTCTCTCCAGATTGTAAGCATGAGTGCGAGAGTGACATTGCGAAAGGAAGCTCTACATCGATGACAGGGGAAAGACAAAATTTTAGCACGATATGATCCACTTTTCCGCCAAGCTTTGAAAAAATCTCCCAAGATCTCGCTTTTGGGAGCTTTTGCTCTGGGTGAATTCGATTTTTCTCTCCAGATTGTAAGCATGAGGGCGAGATTGACATTGCGAAAGGAAGCTTACAGCGATGACTGGGGCAAGACAAAATTTTAGCACGATATGATCCACTTTTCCGCCAGGTTTTGAGAAAATCTCCGAAATTCTCGCTTTTGGGAGCTTTTGCTCTGGGTGAATTCGATTTTTCGCTCCAGACTGTGAGCGTGAGGGCGAGAATGACATTGCGAAAGGAAGCTGCACAGCGATGACTGCGGCAAGACAAAATTTTAGCACGATATGATCCACTTTTCCGCCAGGTTTTGAAAAAATCTCCCAAGATCTCGCTTTTGGGAGCTTTTGCTCTGGGTGAATTCGATTTTTCTCTCCAGATTGTAAGCATGAGGGCGAGATTGACATTGCGAAAGGAAGCTTACAGCGATGACTGGGGCAAGACAAAATTTTAGCACGATATGATCCACTTTTCCGCCAGGTTTTGAGAAAATCTCCGAAAATCTCGCTTTTGGGAGCTTTTGCTCTGGGTGAATTCGATTTTTCTCTCCAGATTGTAGGCGTGAGGGCGAGAGTGACATTGCGAAAGGAAGCTCTACATCGATGACAGGGGAAAGACAAAATTTTAGCACGATATGATCCACTATTCCGCCAGGTTTTGAGAAAATCTCCGAAATTCTCGCTTTTGGGAGCTTTTGCTCTGGGTGAA